GAGACCTGAAAAATTTGGGAAGGGTTTAAAACAATGATAATAATAATAATAATAAAATTCCATGTTAGAATAGTATTAAACAAATCCCATAGCTGTACAAGAATGAAGTGAAATGCAAATGTTTAGTAACATGTTTACGTACTGCTAAGTCCCTTTGTGATGGATATAATAACAGAATATCTAAGAATGAGTAATTTATAAAGAACAGAAGTTTATTTTTCCCAGTTCGTGGAGCTCAGACATCTAGAATCAAGGCATCAACACCAGGTAAGATCTTCCTTACTGCATTTCACGAGGAAGAAGCCAGAAGGAAAACAGACATTGTGTTCTCCCATGTCAGAGAAGCACAAGTGAGCCCACTCCTAGAAGCCATTTTTGTATTATTAACGTACCTACCTGAGCGATTCAAACAAACACCTCCCGAAAGACCCGAATCCCAACAGCACCACACCACCATCAAATTTCCAGCATAAATTTTTGGGGACACATTCAGACCACCACAGCTGATAGTGCTATTGTGATGTGTGGAAGGGACTGAGGTGGAGAGTGGGGCTGAGATGGGACAAATGCAGAGCAGGTAGCCATGTGGGCACAAGTCTTGCTTATTCTTTTCCTTCTCCTTGGGGGATTTCCAGGTCTAACAAGCTTCTGAGGAACCACAGAGAATACTTCGGATCCAGAGTGCTAGAGAGAATCTGATCAGGACTGGGCAATCCTAAAAGCACCATTTCTTTTACGAGTTCACGTCATTCATTAATTCATTAACTTATGGCTGACTGTAGCAGGTTTTGGCATATATTGAGAACTCAACCCCAATCTTCTTCTAAGCGGTGAGCATCTCAAACTACGCTAGAGCACCTACTATCTAGGAAGGAGAGAACTTCACTTGTCCACAAACTGAGAAAATTGCTATCAAGAAAATCCAGCTCAGTTTTTGATTTTAGATAATTTTAAAACATAATAGAATTCACATTGGCTGATTGCTTCTGGTCTTGTTTTGAAAGACTATGCTTGAAGACTTAATTATGAATTATGAATTCATAATGATTATCAGTTAAGTCTTGGACAATAAGTGAATAGAGATTAGGACTGAATGAGTTGCATACTAGGAAGGCAAGGACTATAACAATGAACTGTAGTGGGTAGGCATTCCAGCTTTGATCTGGAAGTTCCAACCCCCATTGAGGCTTCAGTAACTGTCACGCCTACAAGGCGGGGCCAAGGGCGGACCCTGAAGACCCAAGAGCCAGATGCGTGGGCTCTCTTGGTTCCTGGACCCTGGACACTGGAGGTAGACCGAGCAGAGTTCTCCAGAGAACACCGCTGGACTGTACCACACCTTTCCCAGACCCTGTAAACTATCCCTTCACTTGTAAGTTACCCCACAAAATAAACCTCCCTTTTAACTACGTGGAGTGGCCTTAATATTTTAACCAATAATGAAAGAAACATAGAGTAGTCAGGAAACACACAACAGTGTCTTAAGAGGAGAAAGCCCTCACCACAGAATCCTGACAGCGGCAGGGCAGCACCGCAGTCTACTGGGGGCAGTTACTTAAATTGCCCGGATGACGTCAGTCAGTTCAGTGGGAGCCGCTGTACTGCTTCAGCTGACTCCGGTTTTCTGTTTCTTTCCCTGTTCTCCGGGACTGTGTCAGACCCTGTGTAGGGAAGTGGTTCACTCTCAGGTACTCTTCAACATTTTAAATAGTAATATATTGAGGACATGCCTTTGGGAAAATGAAAGTGAATGAGGCAGTATCCGCCTCTAACTGGATTCCTCGAAATAAGGAACATGCAATCAACATAATGTGGTTAATGTATCTGATTGTCCCATCACTATCCATCATACCCACAAACAATTAGACTCAGAGTAGAAGATTCCCAGCGGTCAATGTCAAATCTTTTTCTTCTTCAGTTTCTATTTCCATACTGGTATCCACAGCATCCAGTCTAGGTTGGATTCTAGAATTAAAGCTATGCAACACCTTGGTTCTTGTACGGTTCCAGAGGCCCTGGGGTGTGGAAGGCATGAGTGTTAACTGTTAATGGGGTTCCTTCCATCATCTCATAATTCTCCCACCACCCAAGAAGCAGGAAAAAGATAGAGGTGAGAGAAGAGAGGCCAGGAGACCGACAGGTGTCAGGGAACACTGAGAATCAGAGGAAGGTTTAAGGAGCATGGAGAGCTAGAGAGGCTTGGGGAGATGCAACCACACCCTGTGGCTCCCACAACGACTCCATGGCTGTGATGTTCTTCTTTCGCACACCCCAGCACCACACCACACTCATGGATTACTGTCGGGGACAAGATGGTGCTGTGGGAGAACATTGGAACTGCAGTGTTCTACACTGCTCGCCTGAGTTTCATTCTTGGATCTTCCCAATGACCATGTGGATGACCAGTCACTGTGTCCAAAGAGGGAACTAGATGGTACTTCACTTACCGCATATATGTGTGTTGGAGAGTTAGTAAATGATGTGAACTATTTCAAACAGGAGCTGACACACCCTCATCTCATTGCTACTATGAAGATATTGGGTCATATATGGACCTAGTTTCAATTCTTACTGTGGACAGTCTGTTTTTCATTCATATTTAAATTAGAAGTGTCTTCTTAGCACCTCAATGATCAAGGAAATAAGGCACTAAAGAGCCCTGAAAACAAAATCCAAGGTAAAATCCCAAAGACACATTGGCTTTGAAAGGCCTACAATTTTTTTTTGGGGCGGGGGGTAAGGGCAGTGGTTCATTCAGTTTTGTTTCTGTGTTCTCAGAATGAGGCCTAGATGAGAAGGGTCTACAACTCACTATTAGTGAGTACTTAAAATTACCATATTTTAGATTGTCACAAAATATATATTTCAGCACTAAATAACGAAGCCTCTACTTTTAATAAAGGATGTTTATAATTAACTTACATTGCATCAATGCCTTAGAAATACTTTCAATTTTGCAATAGGATTATGGATTTAAATTTTTATTCAGCAATTTAAGATTATATAGGAGAATGTCCCAGGTACAAACCCAGCACACTTTATAAATGGATGGCCCTTTGGGGTGTGTCCCTGCTTCATTGACAAGGACTGTCTCCTGCTGACTTTCCAACAGGCGACTAAAATTTTGTTCATTGTAGGAATAATGCCGTGATGACTGGCAATAACCACCACTCTTCTGTCATCACTAAATGGACTCTAGTCATGAGGGTGCACTGAGAATTCTTCCTGCACACTGAATGACAGCACTGTGTAGGTGGTACGACAGGTGAACTGTTACAGAATTATTAATTTGCCAGCACCCCAGCACCCATGGGTGAGTTCATGCCCGTGCTGATCAGCCCATCTTGATGTAACCTGCCTGCCTGTCCTCCTTGACTGCATTTCATTATGAACTCTCCCTGATTCTCAGAGATTGTGCTTTCATCACAATTAGGTGCTCAGCCTATCTAAGTGCTGGACATACCAGAAAGGACTCAAGAAACAGAGGGGAAATGAAGGGGAAAATGCCCCAAATAACGACTGCATGGTTTAAACCAGAATGCTGATGTCAAAACACCTACCCAGAAGAAGATAGACCACAAGGAAAGTTCCAAGAGTCTTCAAGAAAGAGGCCATTTAAAGCTTACCTGTCATACACTCAATCCCCAGGCCTGTTTTTCAGTTTACACTCAAGATACCCTCTCTGTAAGACCAGAATCTTCTAAGCAACTATTTCTGAAAAAGGTTAATAGAAATGAGAGAGACACAAAGTCTTAGAGTTTAAATGCCACCTTTTAGTATTTAAAAAAGTTCTAAATTGTGATCGCTAATAAACTGAAAGGACTGTTCACACAATAGTCAGGTTACACACGCCAGAGCCAAAAGTCAGGGCGAAGGTAGACCAAGGAAGCCAGTGATAAAGACACGTTCTCTCTTTCAACAAGTGAAAGGTACTGAGAACTGACTAGAAGGGACAACACTGCCAAGTCAGAGAAGCAGCCAAGGTCAGCAGAATTGTTTCTCTCCCCCGCACCCCCCCCCCTTTTTGCAGCAGAGATTGTTGATAAACAATTTTTTTGCAAGCCTGACTTAGATTAGGCATAGAAGCTACCCAGTACCAGGGTTGGGACAGTGCTTTTATTTCCTTTAGTATTTCACCACAGGAATGAGTTACAAACATACCCAGTACATGTCTGAGCTCCAAAATCTTTTATGCAGCTGTCCCATAGTGCCTATGCTCTTAAGACTGTTCACTCATGTAGGATCCTCTGGCTTTCCTTCTACTTTGTTCTTCTGAGAATTCTTTCTAAACAAGTGACTAAGCCATAGAGATTTCTAAAGCCAGTTTTTATAGGAAATATCCTGACTGTGTTGAATCATAGTTTGGAAGTCTTACTGAATATTTCTAGACATTTGCATAAAAATGTGTAGGCATTTTAGCTGAAAACAGAACCAACTGGGCTCATTGGGACCTATGCCCCTTTCCCTCCCCTAGGCTACTCAATGTGGACTTGACAGTTTTCTGTATTATATTGTTTTGTGTTGAACAATGTACCATAAATGAGACTAGTTTTGTTTTGCCTACACTAAGTTGCGGTACTTGGATCCTGAGTTAGCCATGCTGCTGAACAAGAACATGCTTTGCGAGGGGGCTCTCTGGATCTCCAGGAGACACAATAGAAGCCAGGGTGACATTAGATTTCCCTGCACAAGCATAGTGGAAATGCTCTGCGTTATTTGTTTCCACTATGGAAGACTTTCAGGGAATTCTGTTACTCTCTAAAATTAATCCTATCCGCTATCACACCTCGTTTTGTAAATGTCCAAATCACTCAAGTATGCCCCATTTTCTTGATTCTTGAAAAATCATGTCAACATCTTCTATGCATAGATTCATCTTTATCCAAGAAAGTACTGCTAAGAATCAAATCTTAACTTTGCTAATTCAGTAAATCTTAGTTCAGAGCAATCACCTCTGAAAGAGCACAGCTAAACAGTTAAGAAGTAGGAAACATCCCAGGTAGACAGACATGGTTACTTTTTTATTTGAAGAAAAAAAAAAAACCACATACGATTTAATAAATACTGTGGAAACACTGACCAAACAAACATACAAAGTGACTCAACATTAAAAAAAAAAGCAACAGAAAGTTCTGCTTTATAACAGTTATAACTTATTTTCTTTGTACAATATTTAAATACAGAAAGCACTGGCCAGCTATTTTGTAATACTGCCCAAAGCATAACGCCACACCAGTCGAAGCACATTATGATGGTAAAATGTCTGAGTTCCATGGGAAATGATTGAAATGGCATTTTCTTGCAGAGACCAGACAAAGTGCTTGTAAGACACAGAACTGCCTGTTGTAATTATCTTAATCTCCCCTCCTGCCACAGTTTAATGGAAACACAGTTTCACCGCTTCAAAAATGAAGCGTCATCATTGGGGGAAAAAAGCTAGCTTTGGCAAGCACCACCTAAAACAGGGTCATATCTGACATCTTCTCTGGAAGGAACCACTCAAAAGGTGAAACCTGTGAACTATTTTAAATGCTTTCTATGATCAAGTTTTGAACCTGGCCCTGGCTGAATCTGGTTAAGTGAGGGTTAGCAGTCACATGAGAAATGCCCTAGGTTCATATCAGGGCTGACATTATAGGCTTTTCCCCCTTTCTATCTGGGGTTTTCTAAAGCTTGGGCAAATGGGACCTTTGTCAGGACAACGTTCATTTGAAGGAATGAGCCAACTGCTCACTGTCTGCTGCCAGTCTGGGGGCACAACAGACAACCGTGCTTTTTGCTCTGTGGGTTTGAAATATGACTTTCTTCCAGACAACTTCCCTCACAAACTGTGCTCTCTGCTATAATTCCTCCCTCCATTATCTTTCCTGGTGAAGACAGTATCCACCTGCTTTCTCTTTGAAATCACTCTATCACATCAAACCAAGACACCTTTTATTGACTTCGAGTTTTTATCAACGATGGCCAAAGGAAAAAACAAAACCACACACTCTCTTCTCTAAACAGCGCACAAAGTATTACATTGAGCAATTTACCACTTGTTAATGACAATCACAAGGATGAACGAAAGCATCAGACAGAATATAAAACAACACTCTTTTCTATTTGATCTATGCAATCTCGGCAGTGCTGGTCTACGCATCTGGTAAGGCCGCAGAAGCCTCGCTTTCAAACCATCTCGCTCAGCAGCGACCTTCAGGAAGTCAAGATTTCAAAGCCTCGTGAAGTTTCCCTCTCAAATCCCACGGGTCCCGATACAATTTCCATTTTAATGATGAGCTAGGAGGAAATTAGATCACATCCCCTAGAAAACTAAACACTAAGGTCACAGTGCGAGTTCCCCAACGAGGACGGTATACTAATATATACTTTTTTGAAAATGAGATTAAAATATCGAAAAATTAAATCAAAGTAGAGATCCATGAATAGGTTGTAACAAGAACACAAAAACAAAACCGAAAATAGGCAAGCACCATTCAGAGCATGGACGTTCTTCTCGGAGGGACCGGCGTTCCTCTTACTCTAGCTCTATAGCCCATTTATAGCTCCCTTTGTTTTTGGCATATTTTTCAAGTCACACTTCCAAACTCTTCCATGGATTCACTTCTCACCATTCGGTCTACATGCCCAACCTAAGGACAGGATTCCAAGAACTGGGTATCCGTTCAAGGGCCTCCCAGGCCTGTGTCCATGTGACTTTGGCTGCGCACTTCATTTGACTCTATCATTTCCTTCTGCTCTTGTTTTTTATTCTCTCTTTTTATTTTTTTTACACTAGATTCCCGTGTCCTCGTTAAAGACAGCGAAGCTTCACATCACAGTGCAGCTCTTCGCTTTGTCCTTTCGCAAGTCCGTAGCAACAGCTGAGAGTTCTGGTCTGCTAGGCATGTGTGAAATCCGCTTTGTGGCCCTCTGTGATTTGTTCCGCTTAACGTTTTTATTTGTCTTATTTACACACGCCAAGGTGGCGACGTGAAAAATGTCTCTGACGCTGTTTTCTGACTGTAAAGCTGAGCATTCAATGTAAGTGGCTGCCCCGATCTGCTTGGCCATATTTGCCCCCTGTGAAGGAAAAGAAAGAATTTCCATCAGTAGTGAGACTTTGGAGAGATGTCTGGAAAGTGTTAAAATGCCACAAAACAGTCTAGCATTGGAAAATATCTAATATACAAAATGGATTTCCCAAGTGTTGTAAAAAATTTAAAAAAAGATTTTTTTAATGAGCTACTTTGTTACCTCCTAAGGCCCTCAGTTAGTTACATTACTCAGTAGACACTTGTCTAGCTTCTTGAGCATCCAACTACCAATAGGATGACTCAAAGAAACAAGAGAGATGCTAAGGTGGCATTTGACCCTCACTGCCACGTGTGGTCAAGAAGTGAGTAACTTGCTGTGTAGGTCACATTCAGGGCCACTGAGAAGCACAGCCTCTTGTTATAGAGTTAAGTCCCCTGAAACCATGAACACTGCATCTTTCATATAGATCTGGCAAAGGTGCTTTGGCCTTCTGAGTCCATTCCAGCCCTTAATGAGGCTCTCATTCCTCTCTTATTGTCTGTAAATGACTCTCAACCCCAGTCAACAGTCTGTACAAAATACAGGGTGGATAAATGTAATTTAACATCAATTTTGAGTAAAAATCAGTTTTTATGATTGTATCGAGTTTGCTAATGAGAAATGCAAAGTGTAGATGAGTATAGTATTTTTTCTTTAAGTTTGTATTATACTGGGGATGGAAGCCCAAGCCTTGCTCATGCTGGGCAAGCACTGTACTGCTGAGCTATGTCCCCAGCCCAAAAACTGAACACTTTAAATGATGTATACCACATAGAGCTGCAGCTATTTTAACATGAGCCCGTTTTAGAATCTGGTGGTGAGTTTCAGGAGAAAATATTTCTAAACAGATTTTCTTTTCTTTGGGGGAATACATGCACCATGCTGAACCTCCAAAAGATGGTATCATGGAGTGGTCTATTTTATTAACAACTTGATTAAGGATTCTATTGGGCAACTGAGGACATTAAGCTCTCTTAAAGAGACCCACTGGTCTGTTTGACCACAGTCTTTCTTAAATATGCTGACCTTTAGAACCACTGGTGAGCAGAAGCATCCAAGGGTATCAGCTGATCAGGTGCCCTAATTCCTGGTGATTTTTTACTAGAGAAGGACAGACATTTCATATTTCAGTTGACCCCTGCCTCACCTCTTGAAAAGCTGCTCCATTTTATTTACTACAAACAATATTCCATTGCTTTCACCTTTTTTTTTTTTTTTTTTTTGAAAAGTGTCTTTTCCACATTGACAACACATACCTGATCATATGACACAGGGGTCTGCCTGTGATTTGAGAGCTCCACTAATGTACTGACATCTGTCCGCAGATCAGACTTACAACCAACCAAAAGCATCTTGGTATTGGGGCAGAACTCCTGGATTTCACCTTTCCACTAGGAAGGAGAGAGAGAAAAAAGGAAATTTAACAAAGTATTGACATGCATACACTGAAAACAATTTCCTCAATGGCAGACATTGAAATGTGACTTTAAGCGAAGAAGCAAGCTTGTATTTAATTAGTAAGTGGACAGCAAACTTTAGAGTGCCCAGGTATATTGTTTTATATTCTGTGTGACTCATGGGTTCCTCCCACAGTGAATGTATTGGCTATCAACAGAAGGTAGCTTCAACAATGTCTTAATTATGGAGGGATTTATAAGACAAAAGTACCTTAATAATGACATATCCAAGTGGATGACTTCACCCTTGGACATGCTGAGTTTCTTATTTCTAGGTGGAAGGCTGGGCATAAGCCCGCCCCAGCAAAAGTATGCATTCACAGACTTCATCATGAAAGACTTGGCCATGCTACCATGTGCTGGAGGCTCTGTCTAAGAATCTGGCCTACGATTTTAAAGCAGAATGTCCTGCTTCAAGGGGCTTTTTCCACTCAAGTGGCTGAATGGACAGACCACAGCTTAAGCAGAGAACTAACTCCCTCTTGAACTTCTAGAACAGCAGTGAGTTTTGTAGCCCATAGGACTTTGAGGTTTTTTTTTTTTTTAACTGTTAAGCACTGCTGTCTAGTCTACAATTTAACTATTCCTGTCCTAACCAGAATTATGAGAACCTACAGAAGTCCCTGGCACGGATTCCACTGTTCCCTTTAAAGCAAGTAAATGGCTTTTCATGCTTTTGCTTCTTCTAGCTTGAGTTCTCCATCATCAGGATGGGAGCCAAGTCCTCCAAGAAGATCACTGCTCCCAGAGATGAGGGGATAAGGGGGCTGAGACTCCTCCACTCCCATCCCAGATGTCTTTTGTGCTCTGTGAAGTACTGTGATGGTGATGCAGCTATGTCTTTGCAAGGAGTCCACAGAGCAGAAGGGGCAATAAAGTTTTCCAAGTGAAATACTAGATAAGAGGGACATTCTGGAAGAGTGATGTAAGAGACCACCAGAAGAGGCCTCCAGATCTCAAGGTGTAGCTGAGTTAATAACATCTAGCACAAAGCACCCCAGCACATGGATGCAGTAACACACAGAGTGCCTGATTCATCCATTGAGATTTCCCTTTCTTCTTCCCTCCTACAATTATTTAGGAGCCTCTAGCACATGCTCCTAGAGAATTGAAAAACAGAACAAGAAATCTTTTCTACCTTAAGTCACTCTGAAAACTCTGATATTAATGGACTTCAAGAATCTATTAAGACAGGAGGCAGATGAAGTTACCATGAACCTTAAGCCTCACACAAATGTAAAACACACATATTAATATCTACAGGTCCAATGTCACTATTTGTTTGGTCTTAAGAGAGAAAAGCAAAATAGGACAGGAGAAAAGCTTTCTGTCATAAATTATGTATAACCCAATACTACATCAAGTACAGACTCCAGTAAATAAGTGCCCCTTTTATCTCCAGACACAGCCAGGCATGTTGTTACGTTGTTATCAGCTGTGATGTTTCTGGAAGCCCCCCACCCCTACTTGTTTACAGGTCTTGAAGACAGGAAAGGTGCATTCCTAACAGAATTTAACAAAAGCCAATCCTGTGTTTCATGGATTACTCAGAATGGAAGGAGTCAAAAAGGACTAAAAAGGACCCTTTGATCTATCAAGAGTGCGGTCTCACTGAACTGCTTGTGATGTTTAGTAAAGACTGAAGGAGGGCTATACCTCAAACCCTAAATTTATAATGACTAACCCAAGCTACTAAGTACCATATAGACATATAAACTAATAAAAACACATACAACGCAAACACCACTGAAAGTGAAAACCAAAAGAAAGCAACCCAAATGAAACAAGCCCAGACATCTACACAGTGCTTCTTCATTTCTGCTCCTTCTGTCCTCACTCTGACCAGGCCACAGGGACCCACTGAGTGACATTCTTTGCTCTTAGCCACATCTGCAGTACACAGAAAAAAGCTAGAGTCTCCCTCTCGAACCTCACAACACCCCCACAAGGGTGAGTGATCAATATCCTGCCCCATCTACTAGCACTTCTGACCATCAGGAACTACAAAGAACAAAGCCTAGGTTGCTGCAGGCCCCCACTGAACTCCTTTGAAGTCATCTACAAGTTCCCATAACTACAACAGTCCTCTGTTGCCAAAGGCCAAGCATCGCCCCCTAACACATACACAGTGGCTTCTTAGGCCTCAAGACCCAACATGCAACAGGTACACTCCTCTTAGCCCTGGTTCCTTGCTTTCCACAACTTCTGCTAGTTCCGTCTCCATCTACAGAATCTGACCCACCTTTGCTTCCAGAAACCAGGGTTGTGTGATAACATACATGTTCAGCACACCTGATGATTTACTAGTATTTGGTATACACCTGATTATAATTCACATTGTTACCTATCTAGTGACAAGTCCTATTATACATATTCCTCTTATATTAATTTCATCTGTGTTTCTATAAATTATTGAAATATAACTTCCTTGTCAAAATAACTCTTTTTTCCCCCAGACAGGGTTTCTCTGGGTAGTTTTGGTGCCTGTCCTGGATCTCTGTAGACCAGGATACCCTAGAACTCACAGAGATCCGCCTGGCTCTGCCTCCCAAGTGCTGGGATTAAAGGCTTGCGCCACCACCACCTGGCTCAAAATAGCTCTTAGTTGTATTCAGGTCAATATCTGAATTGAGATCAAGAGTGAACATGTAAGGAGCAGTCTGTCCAGCAAACAAAGGGAAGGCTCAGGTAGGTCCTTACTGTTGGTCCACCTCCCAAAAAATGAACATGGGAGCTCATGAAAAGTATTTTGTTCTGAGCTTTGTGAAGCAAAGCTTCAAGCAGATGAACTACCCAAACTCCTGGCATTGATGTGCAGGAACCTTGCTTTGGTGTATAAGTATCCTTTCCAGTGTTTTCATTAGAAGACATAAGGCAGAAGTTCAGACTCTGTGGCCCCCAGCCAAGCACCTTTCTGCAGTCCCAGATCACCAAAAGCGCTGCACAGCACCCCCAGTCCTCAGCACTTACCTTTTTTAAGACACTGTCCAGGGTCTCTGGTCTACTGATGTCGAAGCAAATGAGCACAGCATCAGAATCCGGGTAAGAGAGGGGACGGACGTTGTCATAGTAAGGAGAACCTAGGAAACAAAACAAAACACAGAGATCTCAGACAAGACCCTCCATCTTCTATAAGGCATTCATAGTATAATGTAACACCTCCACTTGCCCACTCCTGACCCCCAGCACACACTCCCTCTTGTAAAGAAATGCAAACACACACCTTCTCATAAAGAAATGCAAACATATACACAAAAGACAGGTTTATTCACTTGTACTAGGAGATCAGAGAGTTCCTTCCTATGCATGGGACCTCAGTTCCTGGAAAGGCCAGGAACTTAAGGTGCAAATTGATAAGAGTTCAAGGACTAGAGTCAGAGGGATGCCAGGTGAAGTAGGGAGGGTGTGGGACCAAGTGATCTCGAGTACAAACCCATTCCCACCACTAACTGGGGAGAAGCCCCTGTCTTAGGACTGGGTGCCTCTGGTTCTTCAACCACAAGGTGGAAATGGTGACAGCCTATATCCGTGGGATCTGAGCAAACCCAGGTGGCAGCTGGAATTTAGGAAGAGATGTGTACATATTAACTAGATGTATTGTGGCTGTGCTATCTCTGTGGTCAAAGGCTGATTGGCAGTGGCCATTGAAAATGGAGCTGCTTCCTGGGAAAAAGATCCAAACTCCAGATTAGTCCAATAGTTGAATGGGGATGAGTGGGGGAGGGAGGAAGAAGGCAAGATTAATGGTGCACAGAGAGCCATGGCAGAGCACATGGGTGTCACTCTGTCTCCAGTTACAAGTCTGGCTAAGCCATTGACCTTTGAGCTTGCTTACACTTACCCCCCCCCCCCCAAGCCCTGTGTAAGTTTGCTTCCTGCTACAAGCAGGAATGTCATAAATGCCATGTTGGATCATGTTACCTTTTCTACACAGTTCCACCTGCAAACGTGACAGCAGGACAGAATCCCAGGGCCCTGGCCCGAGTTAAACCCAAGGGTGTCTAAAGACGCAAGTCAGCAGCCTATCGACTCAACCACAGCACTTTCTGGTCATAAGGACTTTGTTTGGTTTTTGGACACCTTTTTGAATTCCAAAGGTTGGGAATTCACACAAGGCCAATAATTATGAATTATGAAATAGTTTGACTGCAAAATTGAGGATAATTTGCCCATTGCTACTTTCAAGAAACGATTTTCCTCACACAGTCATTTCACAGACAACATGGAAATCACTTACTAGGCAAATGCAAATATGGTAAAGCTTTTTTGACTTTTCATTTAGTTTTGACATAATTTTTTCATTTCTGGCAGAAAAAACATAGCACGTATTCCCTAAGTCAAAACTTCGGTAGTCAAAGTCAAAAAGAGGAAAAAAAAAAAAGCTTCCAAAAAAAAAAAAAAATTTGTAGCCAGGCCTGGTGGAAAAGGGTTAAAGCCGGGGGATAGCAAGTTCGAGGCCTACCCAAGCTGTGGAGGGGATGCAGCTTGTGGACCAAGCTAGTTCCACTCTGCATATGAGTGCACTGGTATCTCCAGGTGAGTTCTCCATTGAGCAACTTAGGGACACCATGTCTCAAAGAAAAAGTCCAAAACTACCAAGGCATGGACCTTCAGTAGTCTGTGATCTCGTCCTGGATGTTGCTATAGTTGGTGCCTGTGTTCTGGGCCCTGGGTGCTCCCTGCAATCCCTGGTGGCACTGTGCCTGCCTCACTAGCTGCTTTAGAGATGGGGAAGGTGAGTCGGCTGAGCAAGGGACACGAGAACGTTCTAGGAACCAGGAAGGAGAGTGCCAACAGAGAAGGCAATGTCACAAGTTCTCAGGCATGGCCACCACGGCTTCGCACTGGCCACTGAAGGCAGAAGTGTCGTAACAAAGCCTGCCAATGGAAGGGACTTCCCCACAGCCTTAGCTGAAAAAGTTATGTCGTTTAAAATATTGAGATGTACAAAAGAATAGGAGGCCATTTCCAAAAATGACCCTTCCTCCCTTTCAGCCTCTTGAAAAAGTCAGAGGTGATGAGAGCAATTCGCTTAAGAGTTCAGCTTAGGTTTTTCTTGAGAGGCACCAGAACGGGGCGGCTTTACCCTATAGGAATATATTTGCTCTTTTACAGTAGTTCTGCAGTTCCGAGTCTCTCCACTGGAACCTTCCTTGTTTGTGTGTCCAAAGTCTAACTCTGACACAGCTCTGGCTGTGAGCATTAGACTATCTCTTTCCTTGTAGCCAGCCACAAAATCCCAGACTGGACAGAGAAGAAATTCAAATGAGGACAGAGGAGTCTCTCTTCTGCTCTTCAAAGCTAGCTTAGACGACCTGACCTGACCTACGCAGTCAGAGCCAGTCTGTGTCAGCCGAACAGGTGTCAGAACGCTCCCGTCTTAGTCTTACGCTTTCCAGTCTCTAGCCCTCCACAGCCTGGGGAGCATCTGCAGGTAGCAGGCTCCTGCAGCACAGGATGCTGCCTGTACTGCGTGGCAGAGTGGGCTATTCCACGGGACAATGGAGCCCATCTTTTCCAAAGGTGGCTGAAGAAAGTCAAAGGGCCAAAACTAATTTAATTAAACTTGGGACTGCTGGGAAAATCCAGAGACCGGGTTGCAACATTCCAGTCACCATGTGGCTGCAGAGAACACCCTGCCCTTTGTGGGCTGGTTCCCCTCCCCCACCCATTTTAAGGCCACAAAGGGATCTGGCTTTGTGTTCAGCCCTCTGTCACAGGCTGCTGGAGATTGCTTGCTTACGAGAAAAAAAAAGAAAAAAAAAAAGAAAAAGAAAAAAGAAAGAAAGCAAGGAGGCTTTTGTGCTCAGTGGCTATATGCAAATTCACCCTCTTGATTGACTTTAAAAAGAAACAGTTCTCTTGGAGTTAAACAGGATTCTCACGGAGGCCTCTTTCTGCTTTTGTTTTCGTCTGGTTCAACAGTTTGGATGAAAATACATATGTAGGGTAACGCTTCCTGAGAAAGCAGCCACTGAGCTTGGAGGTGAAGCGGTAACTCTGAAGCGCTTTAATAAGATCTAATTAGGAGCTGCACTTTGATCTGAGCCTAGCCCCACCCCCTGCAGTAAACAATGCAGCTTTTTGATCAACAAGTGCCCAGGGCGCTAATAAAACCGATTCTCAAATTCATTAGTCCTAACTGTAATGTGACCACCAACTAGAAGAGTAACTTGCCATAGAAGAGGAGACAATTTATTCATTTTGTTTTTTGATAGGTTAAGGTTATTATTTTTTTTTTTTTCTGGAGAAACAAAACAAAACAACCCCGCCCCCAAACTATTGCTTCCATTTTTTTTTTTTTTTCAAAGTAAGAAAGTGAATGACAGAATTGCAGACTGGCCTAACAGGAAAGGTCTAACAGTTCATTAGGTAAGAAGGACTCTTTCTTCAGTGTTCTCCCCTACAGGGCCCCGAGACTGCACAAAGAAAGAGGCAAGCAAAGGGCTGATCACCACAGGCATGTGTGGGATAACTCAGAGGGAAGAATCCTAGGAATGCCCTGTCCACGGAGGAGTCCGGAAGACAGGAGAGACTCCAAAAGGAGTGGAGTGTAAGCCCTCCAAGGGAGAACAATGCCAGCCCAGGACTCCTGTAGCATGCTGCATCCCATGACAGCCTGGGAAAGCAGGTTTCCAGAAGTGTTCATTTCTATAGATTCTAGTTAAGCTCATCAGGCACTCACTGAACATGTTTTACAGCGTGCTAAAGCTCAGTAAGTCCTAATGTGCACGCAGTCTGTGCTTCAGGACCTAAGAATGGACTACAGTTAAAACCCAATAAACGTAGGTTAACTTTCACAGCATGTGGAATGGGCTTCATGCAGATGGACAGTTTCAGGGTAGCATGTCCTTAAAGACAGCACTGCTCTTCAGGTCCTTTTAAAGTAACCTACCAGACTTTCCACAGGTAGGTTGCAGGGAGCTGTATTAGTATAAAGATATAACTGGACTATATATGCAAAACAAGTGTCTCATCCCATCCATTCTCCACCCCGCAGCTGAAAAGCTTGATTCAGTCATAGATAAGAACAAGCATGCTTTGGGGGCTCTTCGTTGCTCATGTTTGGCAAACATCAGCAAAGTTCTACACGACTTTCGAAATTGCAGGTCTACACATCCCTGTCTTCAAGATCATTAATTTGGGCTGAGAGGAATTTTTCCAGCCCAAGAATAGTCACAAAGTGCCTCACCTAGAAACTAATTCTTCAAACACATACCTGCCTGCTGAAGTCACCCCATTGCAGAGATACAACACACCATATATGTACATAATTAAAGGTATATGGAAGAAGAGTCATGCCTAAAAGGGAGGCCTTTGGATCTTTTGCAAAACCAGTTCAAATACTGAAACTTTAGAAGAGGTTGCAAACTGAAAACCTTTCTCACTGGGTATTTTAAAAGTGTAACACCTTATACTTGAAGTAAGTTAGAAGCTTCCTATAAGAAATTACTACCAAGAACAGGTTTTGGGCAGAAAAAAAAACCAACAGAAAGCTTTGATTTTTTTCAGTGTTCACCAAGGGGACACCAGGAGCGGGCCCCATGAGGGGCCATCGCCAGAGGGGAAGCTGTAGGAGAGCAGCAGCCTCAGGAATGGGAGTCAAGTCTAGACAGGACCCCAGCTCTGCTTCGGGGTAACCCTCTGCTGAACTTCCCCCACAACTGCCTGCATCACAGACATCAACCCCCCCAAAAAAAATTGCCACCACCACCTGACCCAGCAATGATATTCTGTTTGTAATTTCTACTGAATCGGACTCTGGAAGATTTTGAAGAGATCTTATGAAAACACGGGGGCAGTTCCGTGTTTTCTATTTCCAGGGGCTGTGCAGATAGATACACAGTTGGATGTGAGTTCAGAGGGGGTAGAATTAACACGTCTGTTTGACGGCTCCAGATAACATCTTGGTAGTAATTCTCAATCTTAAGATAAAGTAATAAGAATCCTCACGTGTTACTGACGGCAGAACCACAGAGAATCACAGGGCTTCATGCGACAAGATTATGTAGTTAAGTTTTAAAGCCCACACTGTCATTCAGTCCAGACTAAAGCGATTATGTTTCCACTGCTATGGAAG